AGGCGCATAGAATATGCATAAACATAAACCAGGGCTTGGCAGATTGCAGTAGAGAGTTATGCAGCCCCCATAGTCCAATTGTGTGGTTCTTGGAATCTCTTTTGATCATGACTGCTAAAAACAGATGGCACAGTTTTACATCATTTATCTATTAGAAAAGAAGAAGAAAACTATTTGTAAACCTTAATAGAGCCAATTTGGTATAGTGGTTAAGGTACCAGCCTAGAAACTGGGAGACCATGAGTTCTAGTCCTGCCTTAGATATATAGCCAGCTGGGTGACCTTGGACCAGTCAGTCTCTCAGCCCTAGGAAGCAGGTAATGGTAAACCACCTCTGAAAAACCTTGCCAAGAAAACTGCAGGACTTGTCCAGGCAGTCGCCAGGGGTCAAAAACCTGATTCAAAGGCACCCAAAACAAAACAAAACCCCTTAATAAAGACTTGTCACAGTTTACAAAATGAATGAAAGTATCCCCAAACTTACCTGTTGTGGATTCATCTACTTTATGGCCTGTAGACTTCTTTGTACTCCTGATACAAACCCATGTTTTGTAAATCGCAATGTTTTTATTCATACGATTATGCTAAGGCAAACCCTACAAATCATATGATGGCTGATTGTGATATCTGAACACTGTGATATATAGTAAATTATTTAAAAAAAAAATAATAATTAAACTAGATTTTAGAAAAGCATAATATGACCATTAAGCACCACTAAGCCTAATGTGACCATTAAGTTATGTTGACATTAAAATCAGAGAATTATATGTACATTTAGCAGTCTCTGCAGATTATTCTGGATCCATTTCTCAGAACTACAAACTACAAAGGATGCTTGAAGCCTGAGCAGAGACTACTTTCCTTTGCCAGCTATCCTGGCAAATGTTCCTTCTGGATGTGCATGGGAGGCTGAGAAGGCTTTTAAAAGTTGCTACACCAAGCTTTTAAGTCATTTCAAGGAACAGATAGGAAGAAACGCTTAGCTTCCAAGCAAAGTGCCTTGTGAATGAATTTCACACTTTTTTCTTTCTTTTTTTGCAAGGTTGAGAAAAGTAGAAGATATCAGTAAATAAGGTGGACGGATGGGATCAAAGCTAGGAGTAGGATGTCCTCCAAAGAGCTACAGGTTGTTACTACAGACAGTCCAGATGGCATAGTTGTCAAGAGTTTATCTCAAGTTGGCATCTAATTCTTAATCTCACCCGCTGAGACCAATGGCACTTGTTAGTGCCTCACTTGATTGGCCCATGCCTAAGATTTCCTTTCCTGTATAATAAGGGCTTTTCCAGATAACGGAGGTGTGGTGGATGACACACAAATCTTAACAATGCATTGATTTTTGTAACTCTGATGCTATCCTATCATATGAAATTGTAATAAATTGGAGGAATGGGATCTTCATGGGTGGGGAGAACTTTGTTAAGTGCTAGGGTTTTGAAATTCAGGGAGGTATAAGAACCCGAACGCTAGTCTTTGCTCAGCAGAATCATACCCAAATCCAAGGTGAACTGCTATAGTAATGTTAAGGTGTAGGAAGAAGTGGTATCATTTCTGCTTTTCATGCTTTTTAGCAAATTAGGGTTCTCATTCCGTTGTTTTAATCATAATTAAATTATTCTGAAAGTGTGAGACACTTTCTTAGTTTCTGGATCAAAGAATGAGTAATGACAACTTAATGCTGAGATGTTCTTAGATAATACAACAGTGCTCAGTGGAAACATATCTGACAGATAACAGAGTACAGTTCAGAATTACCCCATAGATTAGAGGTCTCTGTGTGACTAGAACAGGAATAGGAATGTTTAACTGGGCTAAACATGGCTGTAATAACAGACTCTTGAAACAGTACAGTTTGATGGAGAAAGAGCATTCATTATTCAGAGACTAAATTTAGGAGAAGAAGCTACTGCCACCAAACTCTCATATTTTATAAAAAATATGTGTAACTTAACAGGAATGTTTAATAATAGTCATTTAACAGGTTTGATAGTATCTGTTTTCTCACTAGGTCTACTGCCTGTTGGAGCAATTGGAATTTATACTAATGCCTATAATTTAGCTCCCGGTCTTCTGACTGGCTCAGTACAATCTGAGAGCATACAAGATTTAACTGTGGTTTTCTGAAAAAGCCACAATGAGATGGATTCATATCACGTTATGCCAAAACCAAATAAACCATCTTCTGGCTTAGCACAATATGTGATTCCACTCTCTTTTTATTTATATCCCCAGGGCTAAATTTTAAAAAATTGAAAGGATTATTTTGGGAGTTTTGTGCAAATAAATCTATAATATATTTATAGCATCTAGACATGAAATATCTGTTCTAAATTCCAGGGAAGAGTATGGGAAATATTTCTTCTATGTATGAGATTTTATAAACCCTGCATTATCTTGTTAATTAGTTTGCTTGCCTTCACTGCTGACCACTTTTTCTGCATAATAAATCTGAGCCACAGGAGAGAAATACCATGAGAAGCCATCAAGTTAATCAGCTACCCAGGTATTTTTACTGATGATGAGGCCAAGGCAAATCTTTCTTTCATCAATTTTTGAAAGTGTTGTTGTTTTTCCAAAGAAAGTGCTTTGAGAAATGCAGACAGTCTGTGTCATTCTGTGATATTCAAGAATGTGCAGAGGCAAAGTGGAAAATTGTATAGAAATAAAGGGTTTGTGAAACAGTAATGTGGGAAAAGTTTATTGCAGGTTGCCCTGGACTGACTTGAGATAGTTAATTTAATAATGTGTGAGATGTATGCTAAGTTATTCTTTGGCATATGATTTGGCTCAGCATCTGTGAACGAGAACTGAAAGCTTGAATCAATTATTTGTGTGTATATAATCAGGCAAGAGAGACAGAATCTAGCCTTTTCTCTGTGCACCATTTTTTCCTACTAATTTTCTTTCTATTTACCCTGAGCTTTTTCAGTGAGCATGAGCATGTTTATGTTAATGAAATCCTCAATAATACTTTCTTAAGGATTGTACCTAGACTCCACCCTTGACAGTAGTATCAAAGCCAGCAGGTATTTAACCTTTGTCAAATGTTGAAGGACCCTGAAGAATTAATTAAAGAGTGGCAGAGTGGCTTCTTTTACATACTCCTGTTTCTGTTCAAAGCCCAGGATAAAGAATAATTATAATTATAAATATTCTTGAGAAGCTCTAGATAGATAGAACCCAAAGGGCATTTAGAACAAAGGCATTTCAAAAAGTTACACCATGGACTTTACTTTGTTAGCCCACAATATACCAGGGTACCAGAAGATCATCCAATTTTTATTATATATAGTGACCAAATTAAAATATATTTCTTTGCATATTCAGCCCGTTCATGATTATACTTTTGTACAGGTATTCTAAAGATAAAGCAGTGCAATAGCCGTAGAAGAGTGTCCAGTTCATTGTTTATCTAAAGCAGTGTTGTCCAAACTTGGCCACTTTAAGATGAGTGGACTTCAACTCCCAGAATTCCCCCGGCCGCCTGGCCTGGGGGGGGAGATTGGGGGGGGGAGGGCACCCCACTCAAAAAGGGGTAAGTTCTGCCAATACTTTATCATAT